GAAGCTCATAACTTGTGCGGGGTCTCGGAGCTGTCAGGCCTGCAGACATCTTTTCTTTTGGATCTTTGGCCTGCCACACTTTCTATTATTCTGCTATGCGTTTTCTATTGTGGGAAACGGGGGGATTGTAGGAGTGAGATGCGATGTAGCCATAAAATAATTCTTTCTAGAAAGCCAAGGTCATCCTTTGTTTTTCCACCTCTGCACCTGACCGGAACTGGATGGGTGGAATTGCCAACATGGCAGTGGGAAATTGGGTCATGTGATGGACTTGTGGCTGTGGGGACAAAATCTTGAACTTTCAATTGGGTGGAGTAAACCGGGAAGCTTTCAGATTTGGGTTTCCCCAGATGTGCCAACATGGCTCTCTTTAATAAATTGGAACTTTGAGGAATCCTTTGACTCGGACTCTTGATTTAATTTTGGATGCTATTTGGAACCCTGACTGGAGCTTGATGCTCTCACCCATTTTGTTTGAATGTCTTGCTGAAGACATCTACAGGTAATCCTCAACTTATGATCATAATTGAGCCCAGAATTTCTGTTGTTAAGTGAGTTTTGCTCCTTTTTATGACATTTTTGCCACAGTTGTGAAGTGAATCACTGCAATTGATAAGTCAGTAACTTGGTCATTGGATGGGGTGCCCTTGTCCAGATGGTGCTAATAGCCTGTTTCTCACCCTCTTCTCCCTTAACTCACAGTTCCTTCTCAAGGAACAGGTAGCAGCTGTGCCCAGGTAAGCCTTTGCCCAGTTCTGTCTTGTTTGCCAGCTGCACACATCCCTTGTTTGGAGCAACCCTTTAAGATCTTGCAAAAACTGCAGCTGGCTCAGAATGCCAACCAAAATGGCTCTGCCACAGAGTGGCCGCCTCATACCTCTGCTTTTAAGCTGCAATGCTAATTATACAATTTAGCTTTTATATTATATTAACTCCCATTGCATTAACTCTAAAAAAAGCAATGGTTTTAAAAGTTAAACTCCGATTTCAACCTGTAATATTTCATACACATGCAGAGAGAGGAGAGAGGGAAAATGAGAGAGGAGGAGGGAGCGAGAGAGATATTAGGGTTAGAGAGAAAGGGAAAGAGAGAGGGGGAGGAAGGAGAGAAAGGGAGGGAGGGAGAGAGGGGGAGGAAGAAAGGGAGGGAGGGGGAAGGGGAGAAGAGATAGACAGACAGACAGAATCCCCCAATATATACTGAACTAACATTGTATTTGCTTATTGCTGCCAGGATATTAAATATATTTTTTAACTGGGAAAATCATCTGATCCCTTGAATGCTGGCTAACCAAGCTGTGGGAATAAGTGTTGATCTCTAAAACATCTCCCTCCCTTAAAATTAAATCTGATACAGAACTCAACTCAAATTGGCAACTGTTCTCAAACCACAATCTAATATACATGGATTTGTACCACATCCA